CCTCCCCCCCCCGCCCCATGCAGTGCGGGTCCTGGCAGATCTGTCACAGCACCCCGCCGGAGTATACTCTCGCATATCCAATAATCCGGCACCCCCTGGACCTCAAGGGTGCTGGATTATCGGAAATCTACTGTAGTTTGCAACCCCTCCCAGCTTTGTATCATCTGCAGACTTAATAAGCGTACTCGGTATGCCAATATTTAAATCATTGATGAAGATATTGAACCAAACCGGTCCCAAAACAGACCCCTGCGGAATCCCACTTGTTATGCCTTTCCAGCACCGATTGTGAACTGTTTATACACATTCTCAGAGAGTAGTTATTTATATGTGCATAATACATTTCAAAGTACAACATGTATTATACAGATATGTAATTGTCCTTTTTTAGGACTTTTTTCTTTTATTAATATAGCTCTTTCTTTTTTTCCACTGCCATAACCATTCTGAAAAGAACTCTTTTCAGCCTATGTAGTCTCTGTCCATAGGAGGATAGTATGCTCTTTTTAAGTCTAGGTTGAAGAATTTTTCCAAAAGTGTCTCAGCTCAGAGATGTTGACTTTTTTTTCCCCCCCTTTTTTTTTTTTTTTTTTCATTTTTGAGTTGAGAGAATATCTTGATATTTAAGCAACAACAAAATTCTCTTACCTGTATCATTTTTGGATATATTTATTATCTGAAGAATTTTCAAGATTTCAGTTGGGTGTGAAATTAGGAGCCTAACCTCTGGATCCAATCTCTAAATCCATAGAGAAAAACTGAATGAAGTCCATGATGAACTGCAAAAAAAAGAGGCGCTTTTTGCAGAGCTCCAGCCAGATGAAAATCAGAACTGTAAGTATCTTCATGGGGTTACATCATAATTGCTCCTGAACGTACCTCTGTAGTTATAATTCCCTCCAGTAAAGACATACCATTTTCAAACCAGTTTTAACTTGCAAAATTAAGGTAAACTTGAAACAGAAAAAGAAGTGTCCCTCTGTCCCCATTAGCATGCAGGGAACTGCAGCTGCTGGGAATCCTGTAGCTTCCTTCATCTCTCCCCAGCTGGTTCTTTTACGTTTGACCTGGGCTCTGCTGGGACATTAATGTTAATCAGCAGCACTGCAAAATATTAATGAAGTTTTAAAAATACCTGATCTCTCTCATTTTGGTGGGTTTTTTATTTTTTTTTCTAAATAGCTCAAAAGATTGATGAGCTGGAGGCAGCTTTGCGTAAAAAAGATGAAGACATGAAAGCAATGGAAGAAAGATATAAAATGTACCTGGAGAAAGCCAGAAATGTGAGTGGTGTATTTCAGAAACAATAGCCTTCTCTCTCCTCCCCTTCACTCTGCTTCTATGAATCAGTGAGGCTGACAGACTTCTCAAATATCAATTGTGGGTTTAGGCCAAATTCCTTGGTTACTATAACTTGCATGCAGCATAGTGTAGAATATAACCTCAAATATGAAAAGCTGTTATTGACACTTCCATACTAATTGGCATCTTCTGTCATATTGCTAATACTATGTCCTTCATTCAGATGTCACCGTGGCATATTTCATTTCCATCTGAGATGTGATTGCTGAAGATAAATCAAGCATAATTTTTTTTTTTTTTTTTTAAATACAGGTGATAAAAACCTTAGACCCCAAACTAAATCCAGCATCAGCAGAAATTATGTTGCTAAGAAAGCAGCTAACGGAGAGAGACAAAAAAATTGAAGCACTGGAGGTAAAACTTCTTTTTCTTTTTTGAAATCTTGTATGTCTTAAGTAGAGCTCTCACTTGTGTATGAGATGCTGCAAAGAGTCTTGGATTCTTCTGTTTTCCTATTACTTGTACTGCACAACCCATCAAACACAGAGATTTTACCTTGATTTGCCGACATTCTGTCCTGAGGTGAATCTGTCAAGACTGTTCTTGTGTATATACATACTATACAAGATGTTTATTTTTAAGGTTGTTTTATTCCTTATGAAAAACAATGTATTTTAATTTTAAGCTTTCCAGAGGAATTTAAATTAAACAATAGCTTAAATATAGTTCTGTCAGCACATTACAGTAATTTGGTAATCTGTAAATATCATGGATTGTTGAATGCAACATATGATTTAAGTATATTTTAGACTGTTCTGCGTAATGATCTATTTTGATATAGAATTGTTAAAATAATATTAGAGAAACTAAAATATTACATGGGTAATACTGAAAATGTTGTTCCTAATGATAGCTATTGGGGTAAATATAAAATTTCTAAACACAGTTCTTAAATTTTAAGGGCTCATCCTGCACTTGTGTACTCAAAATTCCCATTGACTCTTCTATATACAGACAGTAGACTAGGACCCTACATTATTAAATCAGTGGGGATAATTGCTCATTTATGGCTGTTAAGACAGTGGATTTATCACTTTCTGCAATATTTATACTGAACATATTCTTGATTTATATATCCACAAAAAAGCTTCTTGTTTTTAGTGATGCATTATTTAAAAATGTTATCAGTCTGTCTTATTAAAGATGGTTCCTTTTCTTGCAATAATCTCTTGTAGTAATAAACAATGTTATCACTTTGATAGTCACTTTTGAAAATACAGGCAGTCCCCGGGTTACATGGATCTGACTTACATCAGATCCCTACTTACAAACGGGGTGAGGCAACCCCGCACTAGCTGCTTCCCCCCAGCAGACCAGGGAGACGCGAATCTAGCGCTCCCCTGCCCCCACCCCAGCAGACCAGGGAGACGCGGAGCGGCTTTTCTCAGCAGACACCTCAGCTTGAGAATAAAGGACTGAGGGAAGTGAGTTGTGGGAGAATAAAACTGAGCTCTGGAGAAATGTTTGGCTAGAGTTTCCCCTACAATATGTACCAGATCCGACTTACATACAAATTCAACTTAGGGACTGTAGGTTTGTTCTTATCTTGTACATAACCCGGGGACTGCCTGTACATATAATCATTTACACGGTTTTAGTTGCAATATTTGTATATTGCTCTACTGAACGTGTTTCTTAGTCAAGTCCTTTAAGGAGAGTTGACTTTGATAAAGTTGATTCCCTTGTCTGTTTAATTTTTCTTTCTAGAGTGAATGTAAGATTGCCAAGTTGCGTGATTATGAAGAAAAGCTAATTGTATCTGCATGGTATAACAAGGTGGGTGAAAGCAATCCATTTGTCGGTCAGTATGGTAACTTAAGTCAGAAGGTACTCAAGGTGATCTTATACACAATTTGAAACTATCATTTTCTTGCTACCTCGATCTATGAAACATAAGAATGGCCATAGTGGATCAGACCAAAGGGTCCATCTAGCCCAGTATCCTGTCTTCTAACAGTGGCCATTGCCAGATGCCCCGGATGTGCATCAAATGATCCCTCTCCTGTCATCCATTTCCATCCCTTGGCAAACAGTGGCTAGGGACACCATTCCTACACATTTTGGCTAATAAGTATCCTCATGAATTTATCTAGTTCTGTTTTGAACCCTGATAAAGACCTGATTGTTACAACCTCATCTGGCAAGGAGTTCCACAGGTTGACTATGTGCTGCGTGAAGAAAACCTTCCTTTTGTTTGTTTTAAACCTGCCACCAATTTGGTGACCCCTACTTCTTATGGAAACAAATGAATAACTTTTCCTTATTTACTTTCTCCATGCCTGTCATGTTTTTATAAACCTCTATCATATCCCCCCATCAGTCTTCTCTTTTTTAAGATGAAAAATCCAAGTCTTTTTAATCTCTCCATCTGGCACCCGTTCCAAACCCCTCATCATTTCTGTTGCTCTTTTCTGAACCTTTTCCCATGCCAATGTATCTTTTTTGAGATGACCACACAGTATTCATGCGTACCATTAATTCCTATTGAAGCAATAAGATTCTCTATCTTATTCTCTGTCCCCTTTTTAATGATTCTTAACGTTCTGTTTGCTTTGACTGCCACTGCACATTGAGTGGATGTTTTCAGAGAACTATCCACAGTGACTCCAATATCTGTCTCTTGAGTGGTAATACAAAATAATGGGGACTAATTTAGCTATGTGTAGTTGGGATTATTTTTTCCAATGTGCATTACTTTGCATTTTTCAACAGTAGAATTTTTTTGCCATTTTGTTGCCCAATCACTTAGTTTTGTGAGATCCTTTTGTAGCTCTAGACAGTCTGCTTTGTTCTTTACTATCTTTAGCAGTTTATCATCTGCACATTTTGCTACCTCCACTGTTTACCCCTTTCTCCAGATCATTTATAAATAAGTTGGATAGGATAGATCTCAGGATGGACCCTTCAGGGACATCATTAGTTACCTCTCTCCACTGGGAAAACTGATTATTTATTCCTACCCTTTGTTTCCTGTCCTTTAACCCGTTATCAGCCCATGGGAGGACCTTTCTTCTTAGTTCTCAAAGGATAACTTAACAGTCTTTGGTGAGGCTTTCTGTTCAGCTAACCTCATTTTTGTGTGGTCCCTCTTTCTGAATTAAATGCCACGGTGTTGGACTGCTGAGGTGTTTTTCCCACCACAGGGATGTTAAAATTTATTACATTATGGTCACTATTTCCAACCGGTTCAGTTATGTTTATGACTTGAACCAAATCCTGTGCTCCACTTAGGACTAAATCAAGAATTTCCTCTCCCCTTGTGAGTTCTAGAACTAGCTGTTCCAAGAAGCAGTCATTTAAGTATCAAGAAACTTCATCTCTGCATTCCGTCCTGAGGTGATGTGTACTGAGTCAGTGTGGGGATAGTTGAAATCCCCCACTATTACTGAGTTTATTTTTATAGCCTTTTTAATCTCCCTTAGCATTTCATAGTCACTATCACTATCTTGGTCAGGTGGTCAATAATATATCCCTACTGCTATATTCTTATTATTGGCACATGGAATTACTAGCCATAGAGATTCTGTGGAATATTTTGATTCAGATAAGATTTTTACTTCATTTGATTCTACTTTTTCTTTCACATATAGTGCCACTCCCCCACAAGCATGACCTGGTCTGTCCTTCTGATATATTTTGTACCCTGGTATGACTGCCACTGCACATTGTCCTCATTGATTGATTGTCCTCATTCCACCAAGTTCCTGTGATGGCCATTATATCAATATCCTCCTTAAATATGAGTTCACCCATCTTACTTATACACAAATTCTAGAAGTTTAAAAAATATTTCAAAAATTTGTCACTGTTTATCTGCCATTTCCTGATGTGTTTGAATGCCACTTTTTGTGATTTGATTTCTCTCGTCTGAACTTACCCATATTTAATCATCTTCCATCTTTTCCTCCTTACTAGAACATAGAGAATCTCTATTAACAGATGCTTCCCTAAGAGATGTCTCTGTCTGATCCATGTGCTCCTCTGCACCTATTGGCTTTCCACCAGCCCTTAGTTTAAAAACTGCTCTGACCTTTTTAATATTAAGTGCCAGCAATCTGGTTCCAATTTGGTTTATGTGGAGCCCATCCTTCCTATATAGACTCCCACTTTCCCAAAAGCTTCCCCAGTTCCTAATAAATCTAAACTCCTCCTTCCTACACCATCGTCTCATCCACATATTGAGACCCTGCAGTTCTGCCTGCCTTCCTGGCACTGCGTGTGGAACTGGAAACATTTCAGAGAATGCTACCTTTGAGGTCCTGGATTTCAGTCTCTTTCCTAGCAGCCTAAATTTGGCCTCCATGACCTCACTCTTATCCTTCCCCGTGTCATTGGTACCTATATGTACCATGACCACCAGCTCCTCCCCAGCACTACACATAAGTCAGTCTAGATGTCTCAAGAGATCTGCAACCTTCACACCAAGCAGGCAAGTCACCATATGGTTCTCCCGGTCATTACAAACCCTGCTGTCTAATGATCAGATCCCATTACTAACTCCTACCTTTTCCTAATAATTGGAGTTTACCCCAGAGAGAGATCCTCAGTGCAAGAGGATCCACAACCTGTTTCACTGATAACTACCATCATGTTTTTGAAGCCTGCATTACTTTTCCAGTTACTTTTGATGATGCGAAAGAGCTGTCTAACTCACTTACTTGATTTCTTCCCAGAGCCTGGCTTTTCAGAAGCTCAGCATGGAATCCAGATTGATGAGCAGCAGTGCCTGCAAAGACCCTGGGTCGTGCCCTCCTGGACGCTCTTTCCTAGCACAGCAACGACATGTCACCAACGCCAGAAGGAATCTCTCTATTAAAGTACCTAATGCAGCGTCGGATTAAATGACAAAGGAAATGTTTACACTGAAGTGTCCTTAAAATATTTTGTAGCTTCCATTGTAGCTACCTGACAGAGGAAGAGATTGTGAGGCTCGGTCTCAGCTATTTTAACATCAAAACTTTATTGAATACACAATGGTAAATTAATATGGTGAATGATTTATAAAAATCAACACGTGTAGTTCTACTAAGAACTGTTGCACCAGCAACCTTTTCTAAAGAGCAGCACCTAAATGGAAGCAGATTTGAATAGCTGAAGTATGTGTTTTCAAGCACAGCTTTAAAGATTTATATTTATCTTCATAGTATATTGTACATAAATACAAAAAAATTGGCAATATATATTCTGTTTAATATTTTCAGTCAGGATTTGACTGGTTTTTATAGCAGAAGAACAGTTTTATGGAAAACATCAGAAAAGTGATAAGTCTGGGTATTTTTGTTCAGTTCTTTATAATTTAAGGAAAAGTCAGATAAATGTACAAGACATCTGCTATCCCAGACCTCAAAAGATGAACATAGCTAAAAGGTGTGACATTTTATCGGGATCATTGAATTGATTAACCTTAATTTGGGATAATGCACATTATGTATTTTATGACGTTTAAATAAGTCTTTGTAATCTTGGATCATTTAAGCATTATACGCAGATGGAAGTGACTCTTTCCTAAAATCTGTGTATTAGATCATTTTAACATTAGCATTAGCACAGTTTTTCACACCTATTCATAAAACACTTCAGTTGACATTTTACAAAATCATTTTTTTCACATTAACTTACAAAAAAATCACTGTTTAAAAATAGTTGTGGATTTTCCATAATCTTTATAAACTGCCTAGACCAGTTTGTCACATAAATAGTAAAATAACACAGTGAATAAAACCACAGCAGACTGAAAAGAAACCTAATCGAGCAAACTAATTTTAAAGATGAAAGGCTACTGTACCTGTTTGTAGCCTAATATGGTAAACACAATCACGTGCTTAGATTAGAAGAACATGTGTAACTTTTCAATATTAAAGCCATATGGATTTGAGAGCTGGACTCAATTTTTCTTGTGAAATTTAAAAATAGGTGTGTCTGAGTTTGTAATGCAGTATGAATTTTGAGTAGCATTTTTTTCCATTAGGTACTTCACAAGCCTCTAATAAGGCTTATCCTTTGATATCTTGCTACCTAAGGTCCTGAGAATTCTGGAATTTGACCTGCATGATTCCAGAGGAAAAGTGTGTCTGCTTGTAGCATTTGTATTTCTTCAGAAAGTGTTTTATTCTCTTTACAGTACAGTATTATAAATTTAGGCATTCAATTTGATTTCCTCAAAATATTTATCAGAGAGCTTCAATTATTTGTAATAAATATTCTAAATGAATTGTTATTTTATCTTTTAAGTTCTGTCCTGCAGAATTCTGTGCTTCTGTTGCTGTCTTACTGATGCAGTGATATTACTGGGCTGTGTTTTTTATGTTTTCCTAGCTTTAATTGCTTGTTAATATTATTAAAATGTTTGGGTGGGGTGATAACTTCTGCAGATATTTTAGCATGACTCATGTTTAAAAAGTTGTGTATTTCAGTATGTTTTGTCAAATGTGGGACAGAATTATCACTAGTAGCATTGAATAGGTGTTTTTTCCCTGTAAATGCGATATCACAAACACAGTAATTTTTGGGCTTTCTTTTGAAAGCACTCATCTAGAATATAGTCCTAATGGATTCTGTCATACTTTATCACATTAGTGGTGCAGTGTCAATATCAAAAGTCAGGTGCTAGTACAAATAACCCTCCCACTAACCCTTTTCAGAACTGCAGACAGCAGTTCCAAAGAACTTGAATGAGGAATATAATCCTTTTTTAATTAACTGAGGCTGTCAGCTAAATATTTTAGTGGTTATTCAAGGTCAGCTTGGATTTTCAGGGACGGATTATCTGTACCAGGTGTTTCTGGGATGTAATTTTACTTAAAATTATTGGAACTGGTAAAGCAGTATGTAACTTCCTTAGCATTTATTCAACACTAGTAAGAAATTGTGAAAGTGCTATTGTCGCATGTCTCATTAAAGTTGGACCTCCACCTTTGTGTGAAGAATTGATCAGCAGACCTCAGTATTTGATCATGAGCCATTAATGTGCTATTCATTTCCACTTGTTTTAAGGTGGTATAATAAAAGGTACAGTAGGATTAACCTTTTGAGCATGTTTTGATAATCTTTATTGATGTCATGCTCTTTAGAAAAGTATTGAATTATTTAGCTACAAATTACTGACCTATGTATAATTGTTGTTTCTCAAATTTACTGAGGACAACTGGGGTAATCCAAAGACTGAGACTATTTGCGGTCTCGTGGTAAATCTAATTTATGTTGTCCAGTTGTCACAGCTATAAATGCGTATAGATTATTAAATGAGGTAATTGACTCCTGCTGTATTTCTCCAGTATAGCTAATAATGTTGGGGAAAAAATAACTGTCTAATAAAGCTGGTAATATAGATCCCATGATGAAAGGAAAAAATGCCCTTTTGTTCCATATGTTGTAAATTACAAGAGGTTTATTTCATTAATAGGTTTAGGGATACAGATTTTAGCTATCTTGAGACTAGTTAATTTAAGATATTTGTATGAGATTAACGCTGCTACTTTGGTTGAAATATGGCTGTTTTGGTGGTTTTTATTAATAATCCTAATTTTGGATTATTAGTTTTTTGTCATTCCTAGGTGTTTCAGGTCACTTTAACACACCCGTATTTTAAAATTTTAAGAAACGTTCAGTGAAATTATTAAAATTTCACCCTATATTGATTTTTCTTAGCAAGAAATATGCACAAGTATTTTATTTTCTATTGTAAGCTTTTACTTGGTGACAACTAGTAAAAAGCAATACTAAAGTTTTATTTAAGCCGTCATAAACAGAAATTTTTAGAGAATAACACATACTGCTTGGCTACTGATATCTAGAAGTAAATTCCCCAAACCTTTTACTTTTCTTTCCACTAGTCCTGGCAGGTTTTAGATTTACAATGTATCAATGTCTACATCTTCTGTTTTAAAAACAAATGTAAAGACTGTGTTATTACATAGAACTGGAAAAAGTTGCACTAACTTTTAAACTGGCTGTATTCTTTCTCTGGAAAAATTCTTTTATATTCACATAAAGATTTTTAAAATGATTGGAGTGGTCTCTTTATTTTAAGTACAGGCAGTCCCCGGGTTACGTACAAGATAGGGACTGTAGGTTTGTTCTTAAGTTGTTCTGTATGTAAGTCGGAACTAGTACATATTGTAGGGGAAACTCTAGCCAAACATTTCTCCAGAGCTCAGTTTTATTCTCCCACACCTCACTTCCCTCAGTCCTTTATTCTCAAGCTGAGGAGTCTGCTGAGAAAAGCCGCTCCGCATCTCCCTGGTCTGCTGGGGGGGTGGGCGCTAGCTTCGCGTCTCCCTGGTCTGCTGGGGGGAAGCAGCTAGTGCGGGGTTGCCTCACCCCGTTTGTAAGTAGGGATCCGATGTAAGTCGGATCCATGTAACCTGGGGACTGCCTGTACTGCATTTAGTAGTCTCTGTACCTTAAGCTCTTTGTGATAGGATCTGTCTCTGTCCCTACATTTGTAGATGTACTGACCAGCACCTTTTAGGTGTTATCATAATTACTGTGCTTAAAATGTTTGAAACTTACAAGATATAGATTATTTAAATCAACCTTGAGGTCCCTTGTTCTTGCCATCAAAGTCCTGTCTAACTGAATTCCTCCTATCTTTCTGCTTATTTTCATTCAACTTGCATTACTATCTTTTCTTCAAGGGATTGTCCATTTTTACTTCAGTTTTAGCAGCGCACACACACTTCATACACATGAGATTAGGTTATTTTGTTCATTTGGGGCTGCACCTCTACCCTTTTTGCCTCCCGGTGTTTTGTAGCCAAGGGTATAAAGGACAGACTGGCCACAGCTCCCCTTCTTGCCTCCCAGCAGCACTGAGATGGAACCCTGCCAGCCTCCACATCTTTGTGCAAGTGTTTTCTAGTTTTGACTCTATTAATCCTTGGGATACTGGACCTTTTTTTTATTTGTGTGCTGGAAAATTGAAAATAAAAATCTTGCACTTCAGAAGTGCGTGGGTTCTGGATCTCTAGTTCCTAAAACATCTCAGTCTAAATCTACAGGATTTAAATTAGCAGCCTTGCAGGAGGGACATACTCATATTAATCATAGAGAATCAAGGTGTTGCTTCTGCCTCACTGAAGCATATATAGCCCTATAAGTGGTTAGTGTTTGTTTGTTTTTTTTAAACAAAAGGGCACATACACGAGGAAATCCTTCCAAACATGTTTTTCCTAATGGAAAGATCTGAGAATTTATCTTCTGTGCTAGATGGCTGCTACTGCTCAGTTGGCACCATACTTTACATAATTATGGAATTGCCAAGAGTATCCAAACCCTTCTCAATGCAATCTTCTGAAGAAAGAGGAAGGGAAGAGCACTGCTCAGAGTGATAAGTCTTGGTACAAAAGACTCCCCAAAAACTAACATACATACTGACCTAGGTTCAGGACCAGGTCAAAGTTGACAGCATGAAGAATAGTAAGTAAGCCCCCCTTTCCATAAGGTATGGGGTGGTAACTAGGCAAAAGAAGGTGGCAACCTGGTATGTAAAGAGGTGATGTAAGTTATTTGTACGTGTCTATAAAAGGGCACCCCACAGGGTAAGCTCCGACTGACCCTGGTGCTTTATGCACTTTTGTAGGCAGGGGTGTTATCAACACTTACAGGATGCACCGGGGCTTAGCATTGAGACTTTCTGCTAACAGCTGTTAGGCTGTGTCTAGACTGGCAAGTTTTTCTGCAAAAGCAAACGCTTTTGCGGGAAAAACTTGCCAGCTGTCTACACTGGCCGCTTGAATTTGCGCAAGAACATTGATGATCTCATGTAAGATTATCAGTGTTCTTTCGCAAATACTATGATGCTCCCGCTCGGGAAAAAGCCCTCTTGCGCAAATGCTTCTGCGCAAGAGGGCCAGTGTA